CCTTTAGGCTCAGTTTAGAAGGAGTATAAATACAAATTTGTAGAGTGTAAAGCCTTGTATTTTGTATTATTTTGTATGTATTTATACAGTACATATTTTATTTATACTCTTTCCAAATGGAGCCTTAGCAACATCATTATATCCTCTCTCTTGAACTTGTATTTGATGTTATATAAGTATAACCTACTGGATCAGTTGCAAGAAGTTTCAGAACAAAACCTATGCAATCTTATTGTCTTTTGAACTTCTTTCTAGGTACCACACACGTAAAACTGTTATACTAGGAATTTACACAGGCTCACTATAATTATTATTTTAACCACTCCATTGAATCAATGAACTCTTCCCAAACTAGAGTAGGGTTCATAATATAATAATGAATGTAACGTTGATGACAAAATAGGATTCATGTAGCTGACCAGTTAAGACAAGGCTAGCTTGGTGATAAAACTGGACATATAGGGTTATGTTCATCACAAAACCTAATATAATATTTTCTTTAAACCCTTCAACATCTCTCCACTGAGGTTATTGTTAGAATAGAAGAGTAAAAGGTTCTTTGTGTTACATGAGTGTGGTGGATTTAATTGAGAAGGAAAAAGATACTGTCAATATACTTGCAAACTAGGTATACCTTATTCATGTCTTGGCAATAAAAATCCTATATGGAGCTTTTATCTTCATAACTTCTAGAAATTTATGTTAGTGGGACCCTCATGGACCAATAAATATGCATGGCCCTATCTTGTGCTCATTGAGGGTCCCTTATAATTAGGACTCCCATTTGGTTGAGTCTAGAATAGCAGGCCCTAGACTCTCTCAGTTTTCCTAATTCTTCTCTAACTCCAATTTAAATTTTAAATTGAGAGAGAGAGAGTTGGGAGTGATTGAACTAAATTTTAAAGTGAGGTCTGTGATTTTCATTGGTTATTGCTTAAGGAGGTTCCTTGATGGGGAGAACCATCTAGAGAGTATGATGGATAGGGTCCCTTCCTCTTGTTGGTGTAAAGAATCCCCATTCCTTCTACCACCATCGTACTTTCCATTGCAAAAGAGAAAGTTGTTGAGAGAGAGAGACTAGATTCTAGCTATTTAGTCAAGTACTAGAGAGAAAGTAAAACAATTTCTTTTGAGAAAAAAGAAAGAGTGGGATCGAATAAGTCTATCAGCATTCACTTGGTGAGTTTTCCAAGGCAAAAAGCTTGAGTTCAAGGAGGATCGATCTAGGTTGTTGGTTAATCCATTCGGTTCATGGCAATGACTATTTGCAATATAGATACTAAACAAGGTTCCAACAAAACCAGTTCCTAAAATACCTTTTAAGTTGTGGGTTGGAAAGGAACCCAATTTAAGTAAAGTCGAAGTAAGGGTATATAACCCATAAATGCAAAAAATAGATCAAGAACTATAGTGGATATTTTATAGGATATGCAGAAAAGTTAAAAGGATACAAATTTTACTATACTAATAATACCATAAGAATAATATAAGCCATGAATGCATGCTAAGTTAATAGAGGATCATGAAGAAAGTGGGAGTGAGTTTCTTGAAGCCCAACTAAGTAGTGGGACAAGTGTTGTTGTATGTATGGATTATGTTTTGTAGTATAAGAAATGGAACAACAACGACTCTCCAATCATGGGAAGTAACACCCAATGAAACCACTGAAAATGATCAAGTTAAAGTTATTATTGAGGTTTAAGAAGATATTACTGAACCTGAAGGACTAGTAGCTCTTAGCAGATCTTCTACAATAAGCCATGAAGAATGGACTCTGTGCTTTGGTTATAAGACATGAAGAATGACCTAGATTCTATGGCCACGAATGGAATCTAAGAACTTTTATCATTGCTAGTATACAAAAAAGAAATTTTGTGTAAGTGGATATTCAAAAGTAAAAGGAACCCTAGCAAAGAGTACAAAGTTAGACTTGTGGCAAAAGAATATAATATAGAGAAAAGAATGGACTATAATGAAACCTTCTATTTGGTTTCAAAGAAGAATTCGCTATGAATCATAATGGCTTTAGTGGCATACTATGATATGGAACTACATCGGATAGATGTAAAACATTCTTTTTTTTTTGAATGAGGATCTTGAAGATGAAATATACATAGATCAACTGTAGGGTTTCACAGCCAAGGGAAATGAACATTTGGTTTGTAAACCAAATAAGTTAATATATGGCTTGAAGCCAACATCTTGTCAATGGTGTTTTAAATTTTATAGTATTATAACAACATTTGGCTTTAAAGAAAACATTGTTGACTAGTGTATATACTTTAAGTTTAGTGGGAGTATCTACATTTTGTTAGTGTTATATGTGGATGACATACTCATAACCAACAGAATATTGGTTTGCTTAATCAAATTAAATGATTCCTTACCGAATGGTTTGACATGAAAGACATGTGAGAAGCATCCTACGTATTAGGCATTGATATCCATAGAGATAAAGCCCACAAGACACTTGATTTATCCCAAGGGCACACATTATAACAAGATCTTGTAGATATTTGGTATAGAGAATTGCACACAAAGTATAGTGCTTGTTAATAAAGGAGACATGCTGAGTATAAATAGTTGTCCATGAACCTAACATGAAAAGAAAGACATTGAGAGAGTTATACGTCTATAGTAAGGAGCGTCATGTATGCACAAGTGTGCACTAGATCAGATATTGCTTTGATAGTGGAGAGTTGGGCAAGTTTCAAAGTAATGCATGAAGAGAATGTTGAAGAGTTGCCAAAAAGGCTCCAATGAAATCTCCATATGTTCCCATGACTTCAAGGGCATCAATTTCTTCGCCTGGAACATATAAACAACAAACACTTGTACCCCTTCAATGGAAATCAGGCTCTTTCCATTTTCCATTCAATATCGTTTGGGTTCGTCATAACCGACAAAGCATGTGAAAACTCGGAGGCACAATTGTTTCTTCTAGCTTGACGGCACCAACCTCCTGCTAGGTGACATGCCATCCGAATTGGAAGGCAATCACTACCGGAGCTTGGTGAAACAATGAAATCACTGTCGGTGATCTCCTGCCAAAAGAAAAAGAAGAAGATATTAATGAAGATGAATAACAGGGTTGAAAGAAAAAGGAGAAGAAATGATGTTTATTACCGATTGACTACATGCCGTTGGAGTTCGATGAAACAGTGAAATCATCGCCGGTGGTTTGTTGCTAGAAGAAGAGAGAGGAAGAAGATATTAACAAAGAGGAATAATAGGGTTGGAAAGAGAATGACAAGAAGGGATTCGACTTATTCTTATCGCCAGTTGGCTCCTTGCCGTCAAAGCTTGGTGAAATCGCTGCCAGTGGTCTCTTGCTCTTAGGCTAGGAGGGCTTAGGTGAAAATGAAAATGGGGGAAGGGGAATACAAACGGATGAGAGGAAAAAAAGCCTTTTTATTGGTGGTTTTGTCTCTTCCCAATGTTAAACCAGATTGACTCACTTAACGGGAGCGTGAATCGAACTTAACATTAACGGAATTGTTAGATTTGAAAAGGGCGATGTGCATGCTCCTCGTAAATCAACGGGTTTATTGGATTCGATCCCTTTTTTCTACTACTATGGTAGTTGGCATTGCAAAAGAGAGTTGTTAAGAGAGGGAGACTAAACTTTTAGTTATTTAGGGGTGTTCTGTAGTGTGGATGAGAAATTGGTGGGTGTGGAATAGTCCACACCACACCTTGTGGTAGAGACCAGTCCACATTTCACAACTGTTCTAAACTGTTGATAGATTGTATGGACCAAACCAGACCAGCCCACACCCACGATGGCATTCTATTGGTGTGGTAGGTATGGACTAGTTTGCACCACACTTTTTGATTCCATGTATCTCATATACATTTTATGAGAGATCTATATAGTTGATCATAAATGTCTAATTTTTTCATTTTATATGGTAAATAAATTGAAAAAAAAGGCATCAATATGTAGACAACAATTATATTTTTTAAATAATTAAAAAATATTATTTTAAATATTAAAAAATAAGAAATTAATATGTTAAATATTAATTTATTGATAAAAATATTAAAAAAATAATATTTAAAAAAAAGAGTTGAGAAGGAGAATCGTCGAACTGGTGCTAGAATTAACATTAAAAATTATTATTTTATTGATAAAATATAAAAATAAAATAAAATTTTAAAAATTATTAAAAGATTAAATAAAATAAGAGTAATTGGACCAATGTAACGCAGGTGTGTTACACTGAAACCTTCCCATAAACTATCCACACCAAATGTGGACCATCAACGAGAAAACGCCAAGTTCGGAGTTGTTCCAAATCATGCCTTCTCGATTTCCAAGGCATGGCTTGGAGCACCATTTGGCATCAATGTCATTTCTTCAGAAAACAGTGACACAACAGTGCCACGTTGGAAAAATCAGTGCTCTAGGAAATGTCAATATGTTTGGAATCATTTTTCCATAAAAAACGGTGCTGAAAGCCATGCCTAAAAAATCAAGAAGGTGTGGTTTGGAGCAACGCCGAATTCAACCTTTGTTTTTTAATTGGAGTTCATTGCTGCCAATGAGGACATGATGTGGCAATGACATGGACTTCTATAATAGGTACCAGTGTTGAAAATAGATATGGAACACTGATACCAAACATAAGTGTTGTTGTGGCTCCAGACAAACATCAACGTTTCCAAACAAAAAAACAAAGGCCACCCGTGGACAAAGGAAAATATAATCATAAAAAACGATATAAGCACAACATTTTGCCTTTGTGGTGTTCTCTGTTTAGAGAGAGAAAGATGGACAAGTTTGCAAATTATCCATCGGCAATTTCTTATGGAGTGAACTGTTTTACAGGCCTGTAAAAGAAACCCACCTTGTTTCCTTGGCCTTTAATTTTCTCAGAAAATAAAATAAAATTAGATATAATTAATTAATAATAAAAAAAGGAAAGACATCTTTCCCACGACCACGATTATAAATAGGTAGACTGGCCACGATGGAGCTCCACAAGTAATCAAAGCCACGAGGCGAGCTCATTTTTATTGTTCCTCCTTAATTAGCTTAGCTAGTCATCTTTCTCCAAGTCCGGCCAAGGCCAGGCCAGCGCAGCTGGATCATCATGGCTTCTTCCTATTCCTTGATCATCAGTCTCTCTTTCTCTATGCTGTTAATCCCGGTTGAAGTATGCTTTGCACAGCTGCTATCGCCCACCTTCTACGATACTTCGTGCCCCACTGCCCTGTCTACCATCAAGACAGCAGTAGACGCTGCTGTGGCCGCTGAAGCCCGTATGGGGGCCTCTTTGCTCCGTCTTCATTTCCATGACTGCTTTGTTAATGCAAGTTTAATTTTCTAGCTATTTCATTTCATTTCATTAACTTCCATTCATCGATCTTAGCTTAATTATATGCATGCGCATGTCATGTACATACATCTCATCTTAGCAGCTAGCTTGGAACCACGACCATCCAGACTTCCAGACTACCCAGAGCCATGCATGCATTTATCAGGCAATGTGACATTGGTTTAATCTCAGCACCCCACCCAGATCAAATCACCCGTTTTATCTTAGCTAGCTAGAACTCTTGCCAACTCAAATAATTGACTTGACTTGTTGGTCTACAATACTATATATTTATACATGGCTGTTGCATTATTTTAACATCTATATATCTCTGTTATTCCACCGAATGCAAAACTCCCTGATTACACAATTTATATATATATATTTTTGCCAAAATCCCCTGGTAGAGATGTGTGCCTATCAGGTGTTTAAAGTGTTTTGTTTGTATTATTAAAAATTTTTGTTACTATGAGGATGCGACGGCTCTGAAAAATATTCTGTTCCGTGATTCAAGGACCATTTGAGAGGGCCGAGTTGAAGATTCAGCAAAGTTGATTCAACGAATTTGGATTTGCTCCTCATTCACATTCACTGTAAATATAATATGGAAGATATCTTCGATGTGAAGCTGCAAGTGCTGTAGATTGGTGTAAGGAGCAAATAATCCAGATTCTGATTCGACTGCTTTGAAACTCTTCAGAAAAGTTAATTTAAAGTGTCTCCCTTCAAATAATTGAGAGACAGCTTATCTGGGCTCTCTAGATTTTTTTTTTGACCAAGCCAGAAGCCACTGCGCTTCAACTTCAGCCCTCCCAAACCGACACTTATTCCTCCCGAAATTCTAGACGTGTCAATTTTCTTAATTTAAGGCCTCCCTTTCTCGTATATATGATATGTTTGATGTTTATTGGAAATATTTACTTAATGATAAACAACGAGTCATACCATGCGTGATAGCGAGGTATCCAAGAATTGTGTTAATTGTTGTTTACTAACAGTAAGATTAATTATTAGCCCACAGCTATATCTAAAAGGAGAAAACAAAAAGAGAAATATCTGGTATACGAGCGACGACTTTAGGCAACTACTACAATAGAAGGTCGGACTTCATTTCATGGGTCCAACCTGTAGTTTGTAGGATGAAGATATCTATCCATAGAGTTGTACTTGTATAAACTCGATAGTTATATTACTTTTACGAGCTAGCTTTTTTCTTTCTCCGAATGGTAAAAAATAAATAAAAATCAGTAAAATGTTATACAGGACTTACATGTCATGACATTGAACAGGGGTGTGATGCATCTATTCTATTGGTTGACAACGCAACCTTCACAGGGGAGCAGACAGCTCCTCCTAATAATAATTCGGTGAGAGGTTTCGAGGTGATCAACTCCATTAAATCTCAATTGGAGAGCATATGTCCTAGTGTCGTTTCTTGTGCCGACATTCTTGCCGTTGCTGCTCGTGATTCCGTCGTTTCTGTAAGCATAACTTAAAGCTTTATCGATGCATGATGTATATCCTTCAATTTCAGAATCTCTGTACGGTTCCAAAATAATCAATCTTTAATTTTACCGGCGGCTCCTTTTTAAGTTTTAACCAGCATTGTTCTTATATATGAGGGATTTGGGATATTTCATGATCAGTTGGGTGGAGCTTCATGGACGGTGCAGCTAGGCAGAAGAGATTCGACCACGGCAAACTTAACTGGTGCCAATACTGACCTCCCTAGCCCGTCCCTCAACCTCACCGACCTTATAACTGCCTTTGCAAACAAGGGATTCACTACTGGCGAAATGGCGGCTCTGTCAGGTTGCTTTCTAGCTAGCTAATTCTAATGTTCTCATAATTAAACGTAAAACCCATCGATCGAGGACGTTATATCTGGTTTTTTGGAATTGATATTGAGGAACCCCAAAACAAAACAAAACAAAACAAAAAAGAAAAAGAAATCCCTCATCACCATTAATATTTATTCTTTGTTGTATCATCAGGATCTCACACAATCGGGCAGGCCAGGTGCAGTGTGTTCCGGGATCGGATCTACAATGAGACCAACATAAACTCCACATATGCAGCATCTTTGCAGGCAAATTGCCCACGTTCAGACGGTGACGACAATCTCTCTCCTCTTGACACCACCACTCCTAATGTTTTCGACAATGCTTATTTCACCAATTTGCTCAACATGAAAGGGCTCTTGCATTCGGACCAACAGCTCTTTAGCAATGGCTCTACCGATTCTCTAGTTACAACCTACAGCACCAACGCTGCAACTTTCCTCACTGATTTTGCGAATGCCATGGTCAAGATGGGGAACCTTAGCCCTCTAACCGGCACCAGTGGAGAGATCCGGACCAATTGCAGCAGGGTCAATTAATTGATCAGAACCTCCAGGTTACCCTACCCTAGCTACCTATTTCTATATATGTTTTATGTTGCTTTCCCATCTTTTTAAGTATGTTCCTCTCGTTTGGCTTCATCAAAAAAATATATGTACGTTGACGTTCCTGGTTTGTACCTATATGTATCTTAAAGGCTGCTTTGCATTTGTATCCAAAGTTCACTGTTGCCTCAATTATCCTGTTGTTTATGCTCGCCCCAATTTTGCATTTGTATGTTCTGGATCAACAGAATGTCAGGACGAGCGAGGTGAAGATAGTTAATATTATCCTCTAATCAGTAATCTAAAAAATCGGACCGATATAGACCGCGTTGAACCATTTGGACCGTCGGTGTTCTAGTGTTCTAGACAACGGTTTCCTTCAGTCGATTCCAACAATAATTTTAACGTAACAGAACAAAACGAGGTCGTTCCTTAATTATGCCTATCAAATACATACAGTGGTAGTCGATCTTTGTTGCTTTACAGGTTTCATGTCTTGTAAACCAAATTAAGAGCTTACATGCAGGCAGGCACAATGTAATTGTTGTTTTATTTATTTTTTATTTTTATTTTTTAATGGAGAACTAACTTTAATTGATCAGATCCTCTCGAGCCTTTGTTCTACGATAATTATACTGAAAAGGGATTAATCAATATAGAAAACATAGACGAGTTGGATATAGGTACACACTACACAAGATTACACGAAAGGTAAGAATTCTACAGACTGTCCAGAATCTTGGGTCTTCAACAAAATATGGCCCCATGCATTGAGCTCCGGCTGTGAGAGGCTTCTTCTAATTATTAATTCGTATATATGGCTTTAACTACTAGTAGTGATCAAGAAAATTGTAGAAGACGATATTAATTATTGATCCTAGTTCCTTTTCCTGCAATTCATCCGGATCTCACCATCAGTTCCGGTGAGAGGCTTTATATTCCCCATCTTGATCATAGCAACGCCGAAGTCAGCCCAGAAAGCTTGTGGGTTGTTGCTGTAGTACCTCACCAAGCCGTCACTGGCGCTACCATCACCTTTAAAAAGTTGTTGATCCGAGTGAAGAAGACCTTTTGTTTGCAGTAATTTAGAGAAGTAGACGGTATCGAAATCTGCTGTTGTATCGTCAAGTGGCTGGGTGACGTCGTCACCTCCGGATTGTGGACAAATAGTGCGCAGGTAGCCTGCGAAACCAGAGTCTATGTTGGTGTCGTTGTAGATCCGATCCCTGAAGCTGAAACAGCGGGCAAGACCAATGGTGTGTCCGCCTGAGAGGACAACAAGGTCCTCCAGGCTTAGGCCTTGTTGGTTGAATTTGGAGAGGAGATCCTGGAAGTCTTGGAAAGGGGCTGGAATGTTGTTGTTTGCGTCGTCTCTGCTGGCAGTCCTTGAGTCTCTTCTGCCCACTAATACTTGGTATGATGGACCTCCCAACTACAACATGATGGAACCAAATTATAAACAAGACATTAATTCACTTAATTCAATTCTGGATATATTTTTTTGTGATAATGCCCTGAACATCGATCATTAATAGTATATTTTTTATGCACTTAATTACCGTAGCTACAGAGTCTCGAGCTGCGACAGCCAAGATATCAGCACAGGAGACCACATTGCCGTAGCAAACCGAGTCAACAGCTGCCTTGATTTCATCTACTACCTCAAAGCCCCTAATCGAATTGTTGTTGGGATTTGCTGTCTTCTCTCCGATGAAGTCAGGGGTGTCGTCTAAAAGAACCGAGCCATCACAACCCTGAGAGTCCCACCATAGGTCCATGCGAAAGTAAATAAATAATCAGTTATTTTTCATGATAGATCCATGCATGGAACCCTAATTATTAAATTAATTGAAATTAAGACAGATGTTTTAATTTTATGCAGTCGAAACAAATTAAACTAGATATTCGGTGGTTGGGAATTTGGAATACAAAATAACACCACTTACTATCGTATGCTGGTAAAATTAATACTTTCTTCTACTACCATAAGGCGTTGCCCACTGTATTATTAATTATGAAAAAATTAAAAAAAAAAGTAATTAAAATTGAAGAAGAAGAAACGAAGGTGGTGGTTTCAAGTCTCAATGGATGGATGGGTCTGGCTCGGTGAGATTTGGGCTAGATTAATAAGGCTCAAAAGAACTGGACTGAAAGGCCCACTAGTTCTAATTAAGATGAGGTTTTTATATGATTGAATTTCAAAGTTGGGCCCGAATAAAACTAAAATAAACCTGGTGAACGTCCTGTATCCTAGGCCGATCGAAGTGACTCGGAGCTTTTATTAACAACATATATAGGCTTGGTTTGGAGTTGTAGGAATTTCATAGCTAGGGTCATTCTGGCTTACGCTTCGATGGATAGCCTCATCTGAAATGCTATAGATGGCCTGGGGGACGGCTAACAATAGATTCATCTATACCCAGCTCCTCGAATAATTAATCTACCCATTAATTGCATATTGATGAGGAGCATAGCAGCTATGTATGTATTTCATATTTGGAGTTTGGAGGCGCGATGTGTTGAGTAGCTAGTCATGAATAATAAACTTACATTGACAAAGCAGTCATGAAAGTGCAAACGAAGTAAAGATGCTCCCATGCGGGGCTCACGTTCAATAGCCTGTTCAACAATCGTCCTGATGGTTGGTAAGGCCTGAGGACACACTTGATCATAGAAATCAGGCACCAGCTGTGCACATGAAGGGAGAACGATAGCTGTAAGAACCACAAAGCACATGAAGAGAGAGCGAGGAGCAGCCATGGCGGTTAATTGGATAAATAGCACCAGCTGGAGGAAACTAAGTTGCTGAGTATGTTTGGATGATATTGATAAGCAATTAAGAGCAAGAGTTTCTTTCTTTATATATATATAAAGGGCAGATAGCGATCATACCTACTTCCGTTTATCCATTCCAAGTTCCAACCAATCTGACATATGCTAGCTAGCTATAATTTACTAATTCAAATCAATGAAATGGATCCACCATCTAGGTTTTGTATTGACCTTGTCTAAAACTCCAAGGATTTTGTTCCGTTGACCTCTCTAGATGGAGCTCGATCTTATTTGCTGAAGGTGATGTGCAACCAATATGTATTAAGCTGGGACCATCTTTCACTTGGTGTCATGGTAAAATCTCGCAAGCATGAGAATTGGGGTTCGAGTCTGTGAGGCACTTTTATGTGAAAAATAGCCTAAGGTTAGGACTGTGTATATCTGGGCTACCCCTCCCAAGACCCCAGATATATATAGCTGGCCCCACCACAGACATGCATGAAAAGTGATTGCTGTGTCATGCATATAACACAAAAAAAAAAAAAAAAAGATGGGGCTGTTACTCCGTCAAAACCTTGAAGGTTAAGGAAAAACTTATCTGAAAGGAGAATAAATAAATAAATATAAACAAATGAGCGATGCATGGATGACTGGAGTTCTTCATATTCAATGATGGAATGGTTATTAATTGGGATGCCTTGCACTAGATAAGCTCTAGATTTATGCCAAGTATTTTTGACTGTGTGAACATTCACCGGGCAGAAATATTTCAATGTTTAAACACTTAAACGAAGCTTCTACCAACAACAACAAAAAAAGAAACACCAAGTGAAGTTACGTTTACCCTTTCTTTAGATTTGATTGTTTCTACTTTCTACTGTCTTGTGGGTATGGGTATCATCATCAGAATTCAGAAGCATTCATCTGGGGAAGTTTGGATAGAAATGGGCGAATCCACCCCCTCATCTAGTGAGGTAAGGCTTCAGGACGAGTCCCTTGCATTGCCAAATCCAGTGGGCAGACATGTTCTAACTGAACCTTGTGAGTCTGGAGAAAACTTCTCATCCGTCCCTCATATTTTCATCATCAGGATCCACCAATAAATGGGTCCGGTGATCCAGTCTAATGCCAGGCGAGTTTATGCTAGGCTAGGTAATTGGGTCAGCCTAGCCATATGCTACTTAAGGATCCATTTGATAATAGAACTATTTTATTATTTTATTTAACAATAATCCATTCAATTCATCAACTTCAGCTGTTACCAAACAACCCCTTAGATTTATTTCATTTTTACTCAAATCCCACGCTTTTCCAATATTATTATTTTTTAAATAAAATAGGACATATAACAATATATTCGGTAATAAAAAGTATTAGTGATGTTAGGATCTTTCTTGTTCGCACCATGGAATCTAAGCTTAAAAAAAAGGAAAGAAAGACTGAGCAAGTTAGGCCTACTGGCCAAGTCAACTAGAATGAGTCATCCAAGATTTACATGGTCAGTTTGGTGATATGAAAATTGTAGTCTGACAAAGTTTTAAGTTGACTCTTCAAGTTTCAAAATCGTGTTTTGGAGTACCGGCGTTCCACGAAACCACTTTTATCTACTTCAATGTCTAGGTTTTATCTGGAGCCACGTCTTGTGAAGCAGGCTGATACCGNCCCCCCCCCTACTTGGCTACTTCCATTCCATTAATAGAGAGCAGAGCACCCAGAACCAGAATATATTTTATATAGATTATTAGGAGATGGTGCCAACTGCCTCAGTTGGTACTTGGTAAGGTCTCTGGCCGGCGGTTGTAGCAGAGACTAAATAATGGGATAGCCCCCAGGCCCCAGTTGTGTGTGTAGCGCCAGCGCCATGAAAACCCAAAATAAGAAAGAAATTAAAAAGAAATAAAGCCTGCTACTGATGGTAGACATCTTATATTCTTTCCACTATTAATTCTACATGCTCTATTTGAATATTTTTATAGCCTTACTCTTAAACAATGTATTGATTAAAGGTCAGAAGCGTGTTTTCCTGTGGAGAAAAGGGTTCCTTTTGGTTCATTGGATTTGTGTTTCACACACAAAGACGCATGCAATTTTCCCAACTATATAAAATTCTGTGTTCCTTTGGTTTGAGATTTTCTATTATTTTTTCCATATTTCCTGTAACCTCATCAAATCCATAACCATATTTCTGAATTATATCATGCTCTATTTTCCACATAGTAATCAGTTTAGCTAGACCAAATATAGACATTAAACATCAATATAAATTATTAATGTCCAATTAATGCAGCTTTAAAGATGATGCAAAGATCTACTTTAATTGTATAAGAGTAGCATACAATTAGGCCATCGAGGGAGTATACAACATCAACATCAAGGCCGATAAAGAATCCAGACCCCATGCATGAGTCACCTAATAGAAGAACCAACTCCAAAAACCTAAAAAAACCAACATAAACCAAATTAACCAGAAAAAGGAAAAAAAAAAAAACAACTTAACTACAATCATATTACTCTATGCAACACTCACAAAAAACCCCGAACAGCTGAGAGCCATCCATAATATATTTGGAAAAGTATGGATAGGTCCAATGTAGATTTTTGAATTCCATTGCAGATTTATAAACAATCAAAATGTCAAAAATTCCCATTGGTGAATTGACATCAATTCCAAGCTGGCACCTACCCCAACTGTACTTTGGGCCTAAAAATTCTGACCCTGGGCTGAACTATCATTCAACCGAAAACAAAATACAGAACTCAACAAATCATAGATTAGAAACCAAAGGATCTTCAGATAAAGCCCACGATAAATGAAGGGAGAGAGGCACGGGTGCACACATGATTAAGATTGCATCGAGAAGTACAGCTAAATAAGTGTGGCGAGATATGCTATAAAATGTCTCTATCAATGACATGATATGCCAAAAAGGATATAATACTTTTAGGTTATGTTTGGTTTGAAGGAAAAGGTAGAGAAAGGAAGTAAAAGGTAGGGAAACTCATACAAGGTTTGTAAAGGTTTTGCTACCTTTCCTTTCGTTTCCCTATTTTTTTTCTTCAAACCAAACACAATCTTAATATAAATAAATAAATATGAATCACAGAATATTAGGGTCGTAAAGACTTAAAAAATATCAATTCCTAGAAAAATTTTATAAATACACGAGTATGTATCAACATACGCCTAGTTATATTGCAATTATTCTAAATAACCTGAATGCTTTACTTATATAATAAAAAATCTATCATCGATCATTAAATAAAAAGCAATCCAGGGAAAGTTTCATAAATTCCAAAATAGAAAATATTTTTTTAATCTTGTAATAAGAATAAGGTAAACTTTATGATACCAAATAGTTAGGAATTTGAATGAATACCAGCCAGTTTTTTTTTTTTTTTTCGATAGATAATGAAACTTCATTAACATAAATTAATCAAAGTCTAGAAAGTTCTGTACATTTGGATCCCCAACTGGAAAGTGGTAAAAATAAGTAAAATCTAGAGGAGCACATTTAGCTTCCTATGTGCCAGCTGATTGAGCTAGAGCATTAGCAGATATCTAGGAATAGATACAAAAGAGTATGAGTCAATAAAAGACAAAGAGACAGTTAGGTGGCGTTTGATAGTATCTTTCATACCTCTTAAGTCTAAAAATGTTGTTTTTTAAATGTCACCTTGGATTGCCCTTTGAATACTAAATCTCAAATCCAAATTCAGATCCTGGTCATTAATGCATTCAGACACATTTCAGACCCATGTGAAAGACACAAGTGTCCTTGCAAAATTTTAAAATGATTTATTTTATCCTTCACATAAAATTGAAAAAATAGGTCATTCGACACCTCCACTGGGGATGAGAACGAAAGTTCCACTACCATCGAACTCTCTCGTAAGTATGGTTTGAAGCAAGTGGAATTGATTTTTTCATGTTTTCTTCCACGAGTTTAGGGTTTCGATTTGCTACTGAGTTGTTTTCTTTTTCTCCGGTTTCTCGGAATACATCATTCTAGCTTCGGCTTGCAGCTTTTATTCGATTTTCTCCAGTCTCTCGCAGGTATGTCTCATCCAAATTTCTTCTGATTTTCTTCTATTTTTTCTCTCTTCTCTTAACGTTTATTCACAAGAAACTAGGATTACAACTAAAAGGTTCCAAGGGTGAGCATAATGATATATTGGGATCTGTTTTTCTCTTTTGTTACTGTTCTTGCGTATTTTTCTTGTCACCCTTCATTAACTTTTGTGCATTTTGGATTCCTGTCTGTAGTTAGCTTGTGCGGTGTGTCATCTTTCCTTGTCTTTTTGTAATCAGCTAGTCTTTCATTTGTTGAAGGCATTGTAGATCTCTGTTTGTGTTGCATCCAAGAGGTGATAATGGGTTCTGTTTCTATTGTTCATTAGTTGTTTGGATTATTCCCCCTTTGGGGTGTCTTTGTTTTTAGAGGGATCGTGACTAGACCAGAGCCACCAAACTATTGGAATGTCAGATCCTATCAAGGGGATTATGATTGACCATTCAGCAGCAAGTGCTTGTTAAAATGCGTAGCTGACTCCAGCATTACATTTATGCACAACTTTCGGGTGAAACGTTTCATGCTATGGGAATGCCTGTAGCACTTCTTTGTTGGTGTATTATTGGTGATGTATGTTGCAATGCATGGTTACAAATTTGGGTAGGTGATTAATTATTTTTATAAATTTAATTATGTTATTTGTTAATTATTAATTATTTTTAATAATTATTATCAATTATTATTTATTTCATTATTTTTTATTTGTGTTAGTTCAATATTTTTAATTATTAATTCGTAACTATTAATTTTTATTAAATTTTAATCATTTTAATATTTTTTAATAGTGATCAATTATTTTTATTAATTTCATTGTGTTATTTATTAATTATTAGTTATTTTTAGTAATTATTATCAATTATAATTTATTTCATTATTTTTTATTCATGCTATTTCAATATTATTAATTACTAATCAGTAACTATTAATTTTTATTAAATTTTAATCATTTTAATATTTTTAATAGTGATTCATT